AATGGGTGAGTTTCTTATTGATAATATTCTTCATATTTCTCTATCAAACAAATCTCTTACGTCCTTTAACACGATTATTATTTATTAAATTAGCTTTGCGAATCGCTCGTTGAATTCTGTTCAGACGCGGAATTATTTAAATTAAAATTTAATAAATTAACATTTTTGAACTTTGTTAATCTTCACCTTGCATTAAAAATTTCATATGGTACACATGAGGTGTCATGCACACCAGAATATTAAAACAGCTGCCATACTTATTATTTCGGGTCCGAAAAATTAGTAAATATTTTTCAGACATTCTGAAATAAGAGGATGAATAGCGTTTTTGTTAAGATTACCACTGCCACGTGGTAAAAAAGAAATATCGAAAGTTCATGCTCCGTGACTTGTTCATTGATTTGAACACGGCACAGAGTTCCCCTTCAGCTGTCAAAATCAGTGGTAGGAGCACATGGCACTCGATCGATTGACAACGTTGTGTTTCGCGCCATTGTGTCTCATTGGTCGGTGGTTTTCATTAATAACTCGTAAACAAAGCCGCAGATTGCATTTTTGCAAAGAAAAAAGTTACTTAGAATGATCTCAGTTACCCCACATTTCCGTAATGCAAGACATTTTTGGGGCATCCTGTATAGTGATTAAACGTTTTTTTGCAGTGATAGCTACACAATTATTTGGAATAGCTTCGTTCGCATTACAACAGGGCCGCAAAGTTGATCTCATTAATGCTTTGGTCGAAGCATTCTCTGTTCTGGTTTATTGCCCACTCAGTTATCAATGTGTTTTGAATGTGTTACTGCCTGGCTTGAAGTGTCTGGAACAATTGGTAACCTATCATTTACCTCAGCAGGAAGATGCGGTTAAGTCCCTTTTGAGAGAAGTAGAATCTCGACAAGATCTTTCTAAACCAATGAAAAGGTTTGTACATGTTGATCGCTAATGAGTGGAGCGCATTTGTTAATGTAAATTCAGATTGACATTGAATATACATAGTTGAGTTCACAGTTCCAATCACGACATTATTTTATGTGCCTATTGTTTAATAAAATGTTAATTCTGAAGGTATAATATCTGCACTCTACTAGTGATTAATATTTAATTTTACAAGTAATTAAATAAATGTTTTTTTCTGAAATCCGACAGTTCACTGTCTATGAACTCTGGTCTCTTACTGTCCATGGCTACCGCGAACGTGGGACAAGGTGTGGAGGATATGAAGCAGAAAGTGACAAAGATTTTTCAGCAGAAAAGTAGTTCATCGAGTATGTCAAGTATTTTGCGGAAAAAGTAAGACTAAGTCGTTTCTTTTTCTAGTTACATCTATAGATTTATATGTCTTGTTATTTATGATATTATGAGTTGAATTGTTTTCCAAGTATTCTTGGAGATCTGACGATATATTTGTACTTATGTATTTTACAACACAACGTAATGCACAAAACTTGTACGGATTAGAAATCGACATCATCTAAGCATTATCGTTTACTATCAGGATATGTTTCATAATAAAATTTACTGAAACATTGGTAATGAACATCACTACAGAATGGTGTGCCTTTGAAAGTACATACAATTTCAACAACCTTAAAAAACACGATATTTCATTGCGTTTGGGGCTAGAGTTTACTGATAACAGTCAATAAAAAATAGTTTAATTTCTATATTTGTGTGCATATGTAAGCATAACAGTAAATACTAATATAATTGCAACGCATTGCATAACTAGTTATTTTGAAAAATTCCATTAACTGAAACATAGTTTGTTATTTTGTATTATATTAATTACAGTATATTTATTAAAAAGGAATCTCACAAATTGTAGATATTTTGTGTATTATACGACAGTGCTCTTAAGAAACAAATTGAAAATAATATCCTGCCATAATACAACTCTTAAAACTGATGTTATCAGAGTCGAATGATTGTTACATTAAAAATCACAAGAGTACACTCTGGATAATATTAATTGTTTAATGCCTCGGCTGTGATAACCGAGTGTTAATATATCTTAAAAGACAACTCGATTTTTGTATGCTATGTGACTTTCTGATCTGAAATGCTTTCATTTGGATTGTATACACGTTTTATGTGATATTGTGGGGCGATAACAACTTAGACTCTTTCTCCTGCTTCTCGAGTTCAATATCTACCTTATTCGATTGCATACTAACCTTCAAAAACCTTTAGAAAAGTATTTCAAAATAGAGGCATTGAACAGTTTTTGTTTCTAGTTGCTATATTTAGTTCTTCAGGATGAAAGCCCTTGTCAATTCTCTACTTTTTTGTGAACCTTGAAAAAATTATGGTAGATATAACAATACTATTAGCTTTTTAGAGAGAGAGAGAGAGAGAGATAAATTTTGCCATTAAATTCTATTTTTAGAAATTTTGACTTTCTTGACATGTCACATCCTAAAAATTTACAATTTATTTATTTATTTCTAAGTCATGTGTCTGTACTTAAATCAAACTAACATCAGCACCAACACTTTCGCTGTAAACGAATGAAAAGAAAGAATCAAATTTCTTTAGAATAGTTCGTATCTTGTAAGAATATTTTATTGTATCTATATATATATACAATCATATATCCCGTATATACATATATATTGATATACAATACATGTATATATGTATTTAATATATGCGTATATACAATGATTAATAGTTTATCGTATTTAATGACCAATAAATCATTATTATTTTACATATACATATACATATGTATATTGTACACATGTATATGTATTTATGTTTATTAAATATTAAATACTGTAGCATGTTTCATTATCGTGCAAAGAATAAATTTTATATTATATTCATTCTAAATGCATGTCCAAGTCCTCAACATATTTTAATTACCTTGGACTAGGGCTCTTACTGGAACAGGAATGAAAATTCAATTTTTGGATTATATGATCTAATAAAAAACTGGAAAAATTAAATTCCTAAAAATTTCTACATATACTGTGTACTCTTATTTTCGCATTCCCTTAGCCTTAATCCTTTATTGAAACATACAAATTCGCTTACAGCAAAATTTTATAAACATCATAACTATTCGGTTCTAAGTCGAAACGATATATTGTCTTTTTTGCATAGTGAAATTATATAATAAGATGAGGGTCAATTTGAATGTAAAATTCATAATTTATACACTTTAGGGCATTTCGAATCCAGTTCTCTGATCGACAATGTAAGAGCTCTAATCAGGCCAAATTGTGAACTTGGAGAAGTTTGTGATCGTGGCTTAATCGATACTACTAATAACGCACGAAATTCTCAATAGCCTTGAAATTCTTCTGAACCCTGAGCAATCTAGAATAACTCTAAACCTAATCCTTTCGTACAGACAGCACGTCCGCCGTGAATGTTAAGTCCAACACGGAGGGGTTTGCATGCTTATGCCTAAGAAACCTTCGTCGGTGTAATACTATTTACATGACTTCGAATACGGGTGAAATTCTGAAGGGAGGGCAAATGGTTTACAATAAATATTAGGCGAGTGTTAGCGAGAAATAAAGTCTATTCTAGACCACGTGTGTGCACTAGATGGAAAGTATGTAAAAGTACGAAACGCAAGAGAAAGTTATGCTACGTCTTATTCTACTCTGTAAGTGTACGCGTGTACACGTGTGTCTCTCTGTGTATGGTAAGCGTTACAAAGCAACCGTTATTTATCTTTTTTATGGATTCTGTGTCCATACTTGTACATACTTGTCCTGTCCGTAAACCTCGTGAAACACAATGGCATAATACAAAACTTGTCAATAAATTAAACCGCTTATTTACGGGTAGAACAAAAACAGAAAAGTATTTATACATTTCTTACTTTCTCGAGTAAGAAGTTCGGCCCGAACCGCACGGTCTCCTTTGGAATTCGACTTCGTTTGTACAAAAGAAGCTCTTCTGACAAGTAAAGAAATTACAGCTGCGCTACGCAGCAATGTTGTTTGTTTCACCCTTGAGTGGACTCTTGAAATCAATTACATTATCTGTCGCGATAATGTAAACAAAATATTTTATGTTCACTTTGCTGGAACATGGTGAGAGTAATGTTAAATAATATGGTCAAACAAAATTTGAGTATTTCCTTTTAGCCTTTCGATAAGAACAATCATTTTATATTCATTTCGAAGAAATCAAGTTTTCAATTTCGAGAATTCATTCTGCTGTAACCATGACAGTGATACGAATATTTCTTGTGTAGAACGATTCTATAGACAACAATGTACTTTCGATATAATTATGAACATTTAAACGCGTTTAAACAATAATTAAAAATGACCAGACGCGATTAACGCTGCTTTGCGCCGATCTCACTCTCTTTAAACATGTTTAAGTATTTATAATATTACAAAAAGATGCATCGTTGTATTTCAAAGCGATATTTTCAATTTTGAATTAGGATAGTTAGTCCACTGATGGGTGAACAGAGTTCCTAATGCGTTCTATGCGATCTTCTCGTTCCGTGTTTCGCTTAATCCTCACGAAGACAATCTTTTGTTTCGTCAACGATGTAATACTAACAGAAAATGGCTATTTAGTCGTCGAGAGGGTAGCAGCATCGGGGAAAATAGAACCAAGTTAGACAGGACTGGCGCAGATCTGGTTGAGAAGCGGCCTGCTACACACACCACGCGTTCTGTTTCTTCGATGAGTGTGGAACGAGTTGATGAAATATTCTCAAATACATTTTTTTCTTGTTTCGGTGGTTACCGCGAATATGTGGGCGTACTCCGCGCGTTCCGACAGCGCGGCTAACACGAATTCTACAAAAAGAACAATTTGATTAATTGCTTCGATCGAATCGCCAATGAACTAGCCATGTGCAGAGCAATGTTGCGACAGCTTACCGAAATTCACAGTTGTGTCCGGAAAATCGATTTTCGCGTGTTGGAAAATTTTATCCGACTCCTCTGCTGGCACATTCAACGACATTTTCAAGGCTTTCCTTAACTCCATTTGACCGATGTACGATAACGATTTCGTGCCGCACACCTGTTAATTATGCGAGGAGTAGTAATACAGATTAACAACGATCCTGCGAATTACATTCTCCACTTACTTCAAACGCTGTTTCAACCTTGTCTAATTCAGAGTTCGCGTTCGTCGTGGCTAACACCGTGAATATGTACTCCTCGAAGTCTATTTTACCCGTTCCATTCTGCAACAAATGACAAATTTACGGTTTCGGATGAAACAATTTCATGTCCGAGTCCAGAAACAGGATTTCGAGGAAAGATCTTTCGAGCTCCACGATTCAGTAGCGGCATAAATATGAGAAATTAGCGTACAAATGATCGCAACTAATTCCAAAGCGCGGAAGGTCGCAAACAAACATTTTTATTGTTTCAATAAACAGCGTAATTACGAGTTCACGTAATGAAATAAAACTCTAAATAAATTCTCTGCTACGGATCTTCCTCTTCTACGGATCTTCGAAATTGTAATTAGTAGGTCGAACAGTGCATACTTTGTCGTGTATTCGGAAGAGCTGCTGTAGAGTAGGCTCTTTCTCGTCGATTCTTAAAAGTTGAGCGAATTCGTGGAGATCCACTTCTTCGCTAAGTCGCTGCGTTTTCTTCTGCACTATCTCTTCCTCTGTTTTGGCTGTCACCAACCTAAGTGAACAACACGTTACTCGATACTCTCGACGATATTGTCGTTTTCAATCGAAAAATCAATTTCTTCGACGGAGCCAGTTTTACAAACATACCCAAGTTTATTGCGAAGCTTGTGAGCCTCGACCAAGATGGATGCGTGTGGCATATGTAGTTGATGGGCTTTGCTAATTATTCTACAGTCATCGTACGTGTAGTCCGATACAGGAATCTGCAGAGCCCTGAAAAATATGTCGATTTGAAAGATTTCGAACCTAGGGAGTGATTTTCAGAAATGACAAATAATACACTTGCTCTTCAAAGAATAAAATTCAAATCAAAATTTGGTCAGTGATATAATAGTGTATTATTATCATTGTTATTATTATTACTATTACTATTGTTATTATTACTTTTTATCATTGTTATCAATTGTTGTTTTTTGTTTGTCTCTTTTATTGTCATTTAATTTATATTCATTATCATTATTATCTTTCCTATTATTTTATTTCTTTATCTCTTTTTCTTTCTATTGTTTGTAAATTTTCTTAAATTTTTGTAACAAATAGGTTCTCCTCGTATTACGTATATCAACAAATATTATTATTATTATTATTATTTCAAATTCGGATCTAACGAGTATTTATTTATGGATTTATTAACAAGATACACTTACTCCGCCATGAGACGTCGCACATTGTTTGCGTAAAGTTTAGGATCCGTTTTCTCGGCCTCGCTTGGCTTGTAAACGGGGAGAAACTCGATTTCGCAGCTGCTGTTCAGCTGGGTCAGCGTCAGCCAGAGTAATTTCAGTCTAGGAACAGAATTTCTGATTATTCATCTCGGAAATCGTTCGATTTCACGGATACCGTTCTACGGTTCTATGCTGACAAAAATATCCCGTAGCCCAGCTTCAAAGAATTTGTTCTGGAAGATGTGATGCTTACGCTCCAGGACCCTCCCACGTCCACGTGACCGTGTCCAGCTTATTAGGATACCTGATGCACACTGGTTGCACCGGGACACCGGGATAAAATGCACCCGACTTAAACGTAATTAGGCACGATCGATTTGTACAGGTTCCTTCCGGGAAAATCATAACCTGCAACCGGGAATCGTTCACTTAATCATCTTCATTTGGCAAATTAACGAGACGCTCGGGTATCGCACCTCGTTGAATTTGATACCAGTGATGCATTATTAACACCAGAAACGTCGAGTCCCAAACGCGACTCTAATTTATATTGTTTCGTAGCAACGACACGATTAAATTTGCTCGAATTGTTCTAATTATACCGCGGATGTTTATACAAAATGAAAATGTGGCGCATTAGCTGCAGGAAACAGAGACTGTAGACATTTATTTCCGTCTAGAATTATTTGCACGAATTACAAATAAGTTTTAAATCAGAAATGCTTAAAATCCGCAGTCTAATTGTAATATTTTAGTCGAGTTTAACAAATTTCTCGTAGAAAGATTTCCACAATTCCATAATTTCCATAACTGTGAAAGAAAATATCAGAAACCAGTTATTTCGACTGATTACCGATTTGACTAATTTCTAGTGTTAAACATACATTGTTCATACGCTCCTCGGAAGAGGAATTTCACGGAAGATTCTCGATCGATATTCATCAATTTTGATTGTACATTTTAATTCCACTAATTTTAATACAAATAAGTTAAATTACATTGCAGCAATGGCGGAACAATCGATTTTACATCGTCGAGATCAGGAAATTCACGAAACTCAAGGAGCGTATGCGGGTTCCAAAAACTCTGAGTGAAAAGGATATGTAAATTAGATATTGGTTTAACACTCGATGGCGAAGCTCGGATCTATTCGGACCAATAGCGCGAATACCGTAATTTCTCCCAGAAATGTTCGGAGGTCGGAATTGAAAAACCGGCAGATCTGAGAATACTAAGTCGCGATTCTGCGGGCCTCGCGGTTCGTTTTTATAGAAACTCGGGGCAGTTGGCCAAAAAAAGATAGCGGCCAGCATGCCGTTGTACATTGACATTGAATGCATAGTAATGCTAGAATAAAAACGATGACTTAACTTTTTTTATTTTTAACTTTTTGCCATGATTCGAAGGCAATCCGGAAACCATATGTCACGATTCGACGGTCACGTACCTTGTAGCTTCGCGGTTTCTTTTTTCTTACCTGATTTACACCGAAACAGACCATTTTGTGTTATCTTCTGGGAATTCGTGTCGCATGCCGCATCACACGCTTGACCGACTCCGTCGACCCTTAGCATCGACGTAGCAATACGAAATATGACATTTCCGGGAGAAATTATTGTATTGTTACTCGACTATTTAGTTTCTGGCAATTACTTTTTCTCGCTAGAGAAATTAACGCGCGACGAAAAGCTTCGCAAACAAAATTATAAACGATACTAAAAGCATGCTCGGTTATATTTTCATGAGAAATGTCCGCGCCGTGTTCGAGTGTTAACACTGAATCAAAGAGGACTAATAAACGATTAGTGTTGCGTCGAATTGTTAGCTCCAATGAAGATGCTACGTTATTTCGCTGTTAAAGGTACCTGCGGCCAATCCTCTTTCGAAGTAGCTCTCTCGATGATCTCCTTGATCGTATTTTGCCGTGAATTCGGATCTTCCCTCCATACGTAGACCGGCTGCGTATAGTTGATAAGTTCTGAGAGTGGCGACACAAATAGATAAATGAGTATTAAGCCAAACAATCGGTATCAACGTTATTACGCGCATTGTCTACCGATAAGTGTATCCTAACGCGACGAAACATTAATTGCTGCATGCTGAACGTTGTATTTTTTTTTTATCGAACACCGTGTCGCACGTTAACAAAATGATTTAACGGTTTTTATACCGTTACGATACCTCTTGGTACCGTATCAGTCGATCACGGTGATCGTTTTCTTTTATTAAGAAAATTTTCCTGCTCCTGGAGTAGTGGAGCCGGTTACTGTGGGCTGACCAATTGTCTGTACCTTTCGTTTGTTATCGGGCATAATTAACTTGATATTTATCGAATAAGACATATTAAATCTTTTTAATTAAAAAATAAACAATATAAAGGAATAAAAAGATTTAATACTAATCTTGTTCCATAAATATTAAGTTAATTATGCCAAAGTCAAATATTGAAAAATTAATGAAACAAATAGCAAATTTTTATACGTCTTATTCGATTAAATGTAAAGTTAATTACGCCCGAAAACAAACCAAAGGCGCAGAAATTGGTCACCCCATAGTAACCGGCCCCGACTACCCCAATCCGTCGCTCTGCTTTCGTATATCATGGTGAATGGAATATCAATTTGTTCGTTCACTAAATTGCATTGATCCCACATAATTGAGTTAATATGTTCGTTTTTTTTTATCATCGTACTCCATACAAAATAATGTTTCGAGATCGTCAATGTCAGAGCATCATAGAATAATGGGATAGCCTATGTACCTGATCTAGTTCGAAGCGGTTGCAATGTTTATCGCTCGAGATTCATTTGGTTTCGTGGACGTTTCACCCGTGCGAAATATGAATTGAGAATGATCTAGGAATTTCGGTTGATCGGAGGGGCTGGGTGGGTTGCGGAATCTTTGTATAGTTTAGCACATACTTCCGATAAACGGATTCAGCCCCGATTCTCGTCTTACGATGATGGAGGGGAAGCCGGTTATGTAGACGATCCCGCCATCCATGAAGGTTGAATGGGGTGCGACCACGAGGATCGGCGCCTCGGACCTGGTGGCCTGTCTTCCACGCACAACAATTCTCATCCCTCCTGCCTGGTACGTCAGCCGACCCATGAAGCACAGCCAGGGTACTATTTTGCTGTAGGTTTCAATCGGGTTTGGTTAACGGTTCTCGAGCCCCCTTTTCTTTCGCTCCCTTTCTTCCCCGAAGATTCGTTTCACTCTTCGACGCTTGGCGACAGAGTTCAAAGCACTCGAAATATCTTTTCGATTTTGTTGCAGTAGTTTCCCAACGTAGCACAATATAATATTCCGATCAATAGTTATAATGATTTTTGACATGATTTAGTAATCTGATTAAAATATATATATATATTATTATTATTATTATTATTATTATTATTATTATTATATACAGAGTGTCCTAAAATTTGTGGTAATTCCAGGAAATGAGAGGTTCCTGAGGTTATTTGAAGTAACTTTTTCCTCAGCGAAAATGCAATCCGCGGCTTTGTTTACGAGTTATTAACGAAAAGCAGTGACCAATGAGAGGCAAGTTTGGCTAACGCGCGGTGGCCGAGCCAACGAGCGCACGGAGCTCGGTTCCGCTCATTGGCTCGGCCGCTTAGCGCCGAGCGAACTCGCCCCTCGTTGGTCAGTGTTTTTCATAAATAATTCGTTAACGATGCCTCGGAGAAAATTTTTGTAAAGGAAAAAGTTGCTTCGAATCACCTCAGGAACTCCTCATTTTCCGGAAGTACCATAATTTTGGGACACCCTGTATAAATAACCTAATATTAATGGGAGTCGCTGTATTTATCTTATCTGAATGCAATACAATATTTAGAATAACACTTATTCTGGGTGATTTTTAAATTAAGAGTAACTTAAATAATTTTCTAAAATCATTCAATATCAGAATTAACTATTTCTAGGTTGCCGAAATATCAAACTGTGCGCAGGTGGTGCTCAGGAAAATTAACACATTCGACACCAGCGTCTGAATAAACGCAAGCAACAGCCTTCGTAGTTCAAAGATTCCATTAACCCCTTGACACTTCAAGTGCCGAAAATCATCCTCAGAATATATTCCACGAAATCGAAGTAATTTAATTCATGAAACTGAATATAGAAAGCTAAAATTTATCATCGATTCAAAGAGGTCGCCGACCTGATCTCGTACAAGAAAGTGAAAGCTCTCTAACTTTTCGTAGAGGAAAGCTGCAGCTGATGCACACATTTATAAATATTGCTAGACTTTGTAAATGATTACTAGCCATCGTCAATTTAAAGAAGTTAAAATTTATCGAAATCCAAAACATGTTTTTTGACCTACAGCAATACCAGTTTATACGATTTATTGCATTGAGAATGAAATCGAGCCTATTAGCACGTACAATAGTTTCACATAATAAAATCGATTTTTAAATTTGTTTTCACTCGACTGTCAAAAGAAAATTGATTATATATAATTATATATATAATTATAGTCTTGAACTTAATAATGTTTATACGATTTAAATTTATTCTTCGTTAATTTGAACAGATCTTTGTTCGCGTGTGAAAAATTCATAGGAATCTTTTGAAATTATTTCCTATAATAGAATGGAATATGATCTTTTTCACGGTTTGAGCCAAAAGACAAAATGTTAGAACGAACACGAAGAAATGTTAGAAATGTGAATTTTTCTGAAAATTGTACGCTCTTGAATAAAAAGTGTCGGTTTTCGAATTACTTCGCAAAAACAATAGTTTTTTAAATGTCAGATGCTGGTATGCGAACGTGTTAAGGGTTGCAAACATTACAGTTCCTTTCACTCTGTTATTTCTTTCATTTCCTTTATTTTCTTTATTACTGTCTCAATGAAACGAACGACGCAGAGTCATCGTCGTTTCAAAAAATCGATCATGGTGAAATAAATTCAATTTCTTCGAGGGGAAAACGTTGGGAAACTACGTTTACTTTTCTCCCACGAAGTTGGAAGAAATTCGTGCCGGGTACACTTTTCTCTTCCTCGACAATATTTTCGCACAATTAAAAAATAAAGCAACACTCGAAATCTTAATTACTAGGAACCCAAAAGCCAACGCCTCGATTTCAAGAACGAATGAATTCGATCGAGTTCGATAAGCTTGTCGTTGCAGGATTACGATAGAAAATTGCTGAATCAGTCGGTTCGTTCGAAAAGTGTGCACCGCTTTCGACGGAATCTTGATTAGGAGGAAGAAAAAAGTTGGCGCCCGGTTAACAATTTTTCGAGCGTGTTTTTCTCAATAGCATATGCAAGTATCGCGTAGCCAGCACAGCGGAAAACTTCATATCACCGGTTTATTTGCACAAGAGTGAAACTACTAAACGGCTTCGAGACCACGTGACACGTTACTGAGAAAGTTTATGGCGGTCGCGAGTTCTTCGCCGATGGTACACGCATGGCCGGCGAAAATATTTGTCGACACGCGTGTATAATCGTCGCCGTTTAAAAGAAACGATTTCGGTGTGAACGAGACGAGTCTTAACGAACATCGATACAGAAGACCAATCATTTTTCAGCGCGTAACATGAATTTTCCTCTGTATTATTAAATTAGAATCACGCCTTGCAACAACATCGTGCACAAATTATATGCACAATAAATTCTCCCTAATTAACGATCAGATTGCGCATAAAAATGCACAACTTGGGAAGAGGAGTCTACGATTATTCGAGACTTTTTATAGTTGTGTTGGCAATCGGTAACTATGAAAACGAGCTGCAAGGCTCGAATAATAAATAAACCTCTTCCCAAGTTGTCCATTTTTGTGTACAATCCGAGAGTCAATTAGGGAGAATTTACTGTACACGCGCACCAATTAGTTTTCGTACATGTTCTATACGTTTCTTGCGTCATTCATGTGTACAATAAAATATGTAAAACAGGAGTGCCTTCAAAATAATTGATCCGCAGGTTGATTAAGACTCTTGCGTGACACTAGAATTTTTTTCCGATAGAAACCTTTGACTTCGGATCGTTTGATCTTTTTATCGATAATGTACCGTGTCAGCGAAGGGAGAGAGAAATACATATACATATATATATATAGAGAGAGAGGAAAAAAAGGAAGACAGATTTATAGAAATATGATGTAAACAATGAAAAGTATGAAGCGTTCGACAGCGTCGTAAAGCATGAATAATAATGTATGCAACGCTCCAAGTTTCTCCCACGATATTAAAGGCATCAGTTAATTAGCACAAGTGTTCCCATTATTCCACGATCTTGTTAGTAACAATATGGATGATCCCATTCACCGTATACATAAAATCCTCTGTTAGTGCGATCCTTTCGCCTTGGATGATGATCAGCTTCGCGATATTGTAGTCGCGCCGCGGTTGCACTCGGCGAATTGCTGTATGCGCAACTGTAAATTGTCGTCGCAAAAAAAAAGACAATCCCTCTGTCCGATGATTCAGAATTTCCCCGATTGGAAATCGACGATATTTTTATATCCGAATCAAATATATGTATTACAGTATGTCTGTGTGTCTCAAAGTTGACAAATAAATTCATTTCGATCGACGAAGCCTAAGTTGAGTTCCATCCTGTTATTCGACGCAAACGAAGTCGAATCATACAGGCAAAAATATGTTATTTTTATGTAAATTAAGTGTTTCAGCGTTGAATCGAATTAGAAAGTATAGGAGAAGAAATATCTGCTTTTACACCTCATTTCTGTGTATGACATATTCTAGTTGTTACAATAATGATTATAGCAAATCAGATTTTTGAACGGTTAACGAACAAATATAAAATGTCACAATTTTTGGGATTGCTTTTAGCCAGGAAAAGTAGATATTTTTCTTCGATTTCACTCGGTGATTACAAAACGGCTGCGAACATTAACATTTTTTAATGAAATAGAAAAGTATGATCATTGTGGAACATTCGATTCAACGCATCCTTACAATGTTAAATACATTGAAACGTAAAAATATATAACCTTTCGCTGTTAATGTTTACAAAACTGATCATTTGCTTAGCGAATCGATAAATAAACGTACACGAAATGGACGAAACTGTATTTGGCCAGCAAAAGCTGGTCAGAAGACAATTTAAAAAAATCTTGTCCAAAATATACAATTTTCTTTTCTTTGAGATTTAATGTGTAGAAAGCAATATTCCCAATACCTTTCCTTCAGTTTATTCCCTCATGAAATGTTATGTATTATTCAAAGTAAAGAGTGTCTGCGACTGCGTCTGATTCTCTTTTAAGCAGTCCCTGAATGACTACTCATCGATGATTCCGAAATGTCTCGAAGAAATCATGCCAACTTGATTTTTTTACAGAAGCCTTTTAGGCAATCGTACATATAAATAATAATAATAATAATAATAATAATAATTCGTTAAATAGCGTGTCCTACATTACCTGTGTTTCTGTGACGAGTGAAATTGAAAACTTACGAATAATTTATTAAACATAACATTCATTATTAAACATTCATACAGACATCCTTGTTTTCATGTTATCAACTCTTTGTGATACTCAAAGAATTAGCTGGCAATTCGTGCCTATAAGAATTTCGAAACGTTCTTAATTGGATGAAATTGAAAGAAAGGTGTGACCAATAGAGACAGATTAAATCCATAATTGTAAATGAAAATTTATATTAAAGTAAAACACAATACGTACAAACATATAATACTCTAAATTTATTTGTAGATATTTTAACCTATTCATTTTTTCTTCTGCTGAAATTCCAATAAGTAATGGCATTATTTCATTGCCATGTACATTTGCCCCCCCCCCCACTAAAACAACATAAATAATCGTGGCCAGTTTTTAAAGGTCAAGTACTCCAGCGTGCGGCGTTGTGATCGACTGCGAATCGTGCGCTACGATACGGTACGCCACTGGAATGCACATCGGAATGTTCATTGAAAAGTGAAACAAGTTTACGGCGATCGTGTATCAAACGGTTGATAAAAAACAGAAAGAAGTCCGAGACAAGATGGAACGTCAACTAGGCGACGAGTTGCTTGGCACAGAAAACATGGAAGACCTACTTCCGAAAAAAGGAATGCGCCCGGTCTCCGCCTTGGCGACGATGCTCGGTCCGCCGAGGTACACGACCGGAAACGCGTCGAAGAAGCTTGAATGTGGTGCCACCGCTAACACGGGGGCATCCTTTGTTTCCGCTTTGCGACCCTTGACCTTCAGGTGATGGAATCCCCCGCAGATGAACAACGCTCGCATCATCCAGCAGATTACGACTCGCATGTCTCTGTTATTTTAGTTTGTTGTTCGTTCAAGCGTTTTAGAATCGAACGTTCATGGTCTGCGTCTGTATGCAAAAACCAATGGCTGCCGTTTCGCGCTCGAAAGGAGAGCCTTCGTTACTCCGCGATCGTTCGCGTCTCTTCATCTTTCGCGAAATAATCGTGTCGCCGACACAAAATCTCCGAAAAGCTTGTCTTCAGTCCCATTTCGATTTCTGCCGATTAATAGACTTCGGATCTTTATGCGAAATAAAACATTCTCTATCTCGATTGCAACGAGCTGCCAGTTTATTTATTTTCTTAACCCGTTGCACTACGATTTCTTTCGCAAGAAAGAAATTTTTTAGCAGACAGAAGGAGACAATTTTTGTCTATCGTATCTCTTCATTTATGTTGGTTTTGTGTGCTTTCATTCCAACATTGAATTTACTTGAAATTCTAGATTTATAAGAATGTCATTCGTATTTAGCAGATTGTGCATGAAAACTTGATCACGGGTCTGACTCGTTGTTATAGCGCAAGGGATTCATACATCTCATTGGTTGAGCTTAAAATAATAATATTTAAAAATTTTTTAAGTATTCGTAATATCTCATGCTTCCACGTTCTTATTTTTGTAATGAACGCATAAAGATCCGCAGTCTGCTCACTCGAACATCTAATCATGGATTCAAATCATGAACGATATTTGCAATCGGAGTAAATTTTATTTTTCAAAACAATTCAACGACGCACGGTTGGCAATTCGTCGCGCCGTTTTGAGGCAAAAAGAACTTTCTCTAGGCGTATTGCTTAACGTCGTTGCCCATTAGAAGATACTGTAAGTGCCACGATGATAAGACACTACACTCTACGATGGTCATTCTTCGGCCAACCGTCTTCCCACCGAGTACGTTCGAAAGAGAAGGATATTCGAGATATTCGAGAACGAATTTTTTCATCTAACCACGTTGTCGCCGTTAATTCGTATCGACGCATCCATTGCTTTTGCATACACGCGAACACAACATTCACGGGAACATATGTAGCTTTACTCCACTGCGTGCAATTGCTACGTTGCTCTACGTGCTGGCTATTAGAAGGAAATGCTGCAAAACGTTTGAAAGTACATTATAGCGTGACCCGCGAGAACTAGGTGTGTAGAAAACACCTAATTATCGAATGATTCCAAGACCAAAGAAAAAGTATGCAACACAAACTCGTACTACAATTTCTAATTGGCTTCATGTCGAAGATTAGGAACAGTTTGGTAACGCGTGCGATCTACGTTGCTGTGGCGATCCTAATGATTTATTTGTCGTGCATCGACAATGAAATAACGAGAAAATTATTATCGCTATTATATTATATTTAAACGCGATCTTAAGATCGTCAAGATTGGCTTCAATGTTGGATAAGAGTGCTTTCCTGCAGAGCTCTGTTCGTCAGAGTAATAGGTTTGAGGATCGGCTAAGTAAACGCGTGCTAGACGGAAACTTGTTTTAATAGTCGCGCACGGTACTTTCTCCCGCGCAAACAAAGTGCGACGACGGTGTTAACGTAACCGTGCACAGGAACTATTCTTCGCGCAAGATTCAATCTCGAACTTCTGTTTGCCGTATTCATTTCTGTCATGCTCTTCAGCCATCCTTCCCTTTTCACTTATCTTGATCTCTCGCGTACCATCTATCTTGTTGTTCTTCGTCTAAATAGCTTTCGCCTTCGATCTAGCTTGCTCTCTAAATGCCTTAGACTTTTATCTACAGGGTGTCTCAAAATTATGGTACTTCCTGGAAATGAGGGAGTCCTGAGATGATTTGAAGCAACTTTCTCCTTAGCGAAAATTCAATCCGCTGCTTCGTTTACGAGTTATTAACGAAAAACACGGACCAATAAGAGATCGCGTACGGCTGACGCTGCGTCAGACGATCGGCGCGACGCGGCATTGGCCGCAAGGGCGGAGCGTCGGCCGCACTCGCTCTCCGATTGGTCAGTGTTTTTCGTTAATAACTCGTAAACGAAGCCGCGGATTGCATTTTCGCTAAGGAAAAAGTTACTTCAAATGACCTCGGGAATCTCTCATTTCCCGAAAGTACCATAATTTTGGGACACTCTGTATATTGTTCGTTATCATAAACTCTCCCCAATTGTCCTTCAACTTGTAAACGAAAATCGACAATTTGGGAACAGGGGATACGATTATTCGGGCCTCGCGGCTCGTTTTTATAATTGTAGACAATCGGCCACTATAAAAACGAGTCGCGAGACCCGAATAATCGTATCCCCTCTTCCCAAATTGTCCATTTTCATTTACAAGCTGAAAGACAATCGGGAGAATTTACCGTATCTTTTTCGTCTATCTTGTTCTCTATCTATTCTGCTTTCCATTTAAGTTATATTTCATTTATCCTGTTTCGCTTGCCGCTGCCTTCTTTCTAGCTTTTTATCTACAGTTGTTGTACAAAGTGTTCGTACACCATCTAAAACGGAACCACTTTTTTCACAATTGGGCCAAGCGATCTAAAGTTTTTTGGGATGTCAGAGTGACCACTGGACAATGGCTAAGCAATTTTTTTCTTCAGAAATTGCAATTAGTTGGCGGGATAAAAGAATTAAGAAATGCTCGTTTTTATAGTTGTTGATAAATAATCGTATCTCCTCTTCTAAAATCGTCCATTTTCGTTCGCAAGCCGAGGGACAATTTCAGAGAATGTACTGTATTTAGGTTAGACGGTGAACTCCTTCGACTTCATCTCGCATCTTAAGATGCATAATAATTTCATTCTCGATCGCATACGCGATTCTCGAGCATCTTGCGCCTCCTTTCCGCGATGCATATCGAATAGAATTCTAGAAGAGCTTGCGCAACAACGAAACAACATAAGCTCGCCATACGGTCGTGTCTCAGACCGCTGTCTTATAGGCAAACAACCAGTCTTTAAGGGATATATTCCGATCCACTACCTCCGGTGTTACGTGGCTGAATTATTTATGGGAAACTAGAAAGAACCCTGCGACACTGGCGGATGCGGACTGTCGTTTTTATTGATTATTATATGAATAAAGAATGGAATCGTGAGAATTCCTCGCTTCGCGGACACGAAGCGAGGAATTCTCACAAGTGTCCCCTTCTTTTCGCAACTTGCTCGAGGTTAGCATTTTATGTAAACCGCCGCACTATAAATATGTTAATAGCATCGATTATTTCCAGAAGCTCGTACGGAATGGTCCGTTTGACTTTGCCGCTCAATGAGTAGCGAGCAAACACGACTACGCGATTGTCATTACGCGAAGTTATAAGGTCAAGAGGGGAAAGGGCAGAGCGTCGATATCATTTTTACAATGTTAACTGGTTGGTTTACAATGTTAATTGGCAAGTTGTTCATCCATATCAGGGATGGACACAACAGGACGACCTGCTTTTTTAAATTATAGGCGGCGATCTATCAACATCGTATGTGTTAAGTGATCATAAGAAAAGTAGTAATTTGAAGCCATAAATAAGTTTAAATTTTGAAATAAGCATAAATGGCAGTCGTCGCGTCCTGACGATGCAAACAATTTTTTGGAATTCCATGGACGGGGAACACTTGATCCGATAAGTGTTTACGACTTGGGAAATGAAGATCGAGCTTCCTTTGATAAGTAATTGATTCGAACGATAGATAGCATGGTGGTCCTAATAGCTCTCAGGACTGAATGTTCATTTCGTTGCATTTTGTTGATTTTGTTGCAATTCGATATATTCATTCGAAATATCAAACTATGAATAAAACCAGACCTGGGTAAAAACATTTTAATAAAGAAATACATATATTTGCAAATACTGTTTCTCTCAATTATGTTACATGTGCTTCACGCGATGTCTGTATTAAATGAAATACTAGTTGAAATACTTCATTGATTTTACAAATGTATAACATTTGTTTATGTAAAATATATATTTTGCAATACGAACCTGCAATACTTGATTGAAATAAATATTTTCTTTATTGTACGTGAAATGAAATATTTGAATATTACGGTAAATTCTTCCCAATTGTCCTTCAGCTTATAAACAAAAATGAACAACTTAGGAAGAAGGGATGCGAGGGGGATTGCGGGCATTGCGGCTCATTTTTATAGTTGCCGATTATCAACAACTATAAAAATGAGTCGCGAGGCTCGAATAATCGTATCCTCTCTTCCCAAGTTGCCCATTTTTGTTTACAAGCTGAGGGACAATTGGGAGGAATTTACTGTATATCCATGAAATTTTGGCGACCAAGCAACTGCGAGATGTCTTGACATTTGTGTTTACATTTGAGATATTTAGTTTGTTAAAAGCAAACAGACGTTGAATGCTCCAATTACATTTATGACTTAAGAGAACAAAATATAAGAATTATTTATAAGAATTAATATAAGAATTTCTTGATAGGTTTATTTTCTTTCATAAATATTAATTGTAAGAATTTCAAATAATTAATAGAAATTTAGACGCATCAAATAATAATTATTTCCGGCATATCTCAACACTTAACGAACGGGTTGTTTTTCCTCTGTATTGCTCGGTTTCCGGAAAATAAATGCGCGTGAAAATGATAAACTTTACTTCATAAAAATTCAATTGAAAACGCAAATCCACGAGGCCCGTCTTAGGATGCCAGAATGGAAAAACGTAAATTTACATCACCCATTCGCGAAGTATGAAGAAAATACTATTTCAATCAATAATTTTCTTGATCACAACATAAATAACTATCCTCAATACATTTACTTGTCTCTATGATGTCGAATAAATCTTGAAATATTATTCCCTACAAACAAGAGCATTTCACATCAACTATAATTTCCAATACTTTTTCAAATATTTTTACCCAGGTCCGAGCAAAACGCAACCGTTTGAATAATTTTACAACGAATATGGATGGAAACTAGATAGGATGTCTTGTCCAATTATTTCTTAGAAGCGCGCGGACGAGGGTTAAGGGTTGCAGAAGGTTGAACGATTCGTGCTCGCATCAGCGGACACTGTAGGGTTAAA